TTCTCCCCTCTACTTGCTACACATTTCCTTAATGAACATTAAAAACTTCAACCGGATAAGTTTGAGTATTCTTATTACCCGTTTGCTGGATGATGTATGGATATTGAAAGGAGAAGTTACATGTTAATCACCTCCAGGAGTCAAAGGACTTCAGACAACTTTCAACGACCCAGATTAACAACTTAAGGCTCTGAGATTTAGGATTCTTCCTTAACCGTGCTAATGAGAATAAATTGCTCCCAACAGATGAAGAGGTGGACGATGAAAGAGAATGTTAGTAGTTTTATACCCAAGACTTAAATGCACTATGAAATCTAGTGTACTCGTGTGTGCTACTTCGTGGATTTACCATTAGACATGCTAGAGCTGAACTTCGTTAGTTTATTGTCACACTTATTTTTTTTAGCGGAGAGTGAGTCTGGCAGACATGGCTCATCTCACATTATGGACATCAAGGAGGAGCAGAAGAAAGGAAGCGTAAGTCAAGTAACTCTTGTTAAAAGCATTTCAAGAGAAGTGAAAGTAAGATTTTTTCACCTTAGAAAGCTTTTCGATCCAAAACCCAAGCAATCACGACAGCCAGGAAAGGAGCCAATTAGAACTGGAAGTGAAATCACGCGAACTGCCTGAAGCGCGGGAAAAAGCGAGTGACCAAGTCGCTATTGTTCACACTTTTGAATCTGGTTGGTCAAGAAAGTGACGCAAGTTTTCTGGACCAATCCTATATCGAAATAAAGCAAAACCAAAGCAATCCTGGATTACTTTTGATACTGAGTTGAAAATTGCTCTATTGTAGTATAAAAATGAATATAGTCTCTTGTCGGAAAGGACCAGCTTTGGACATGACCTTGAAGAACCCGATTCGTTATTTAAAAGTGATGTTAGTCTAGAAACACTCCATAGAAATACAGAGTACACATAGTACTTGTTTTAAATCCTTAAACTACTATCAACTATCAAGAAATATTTAAGATTGCCCCTTTTGTTAGGAACAACAAGACGAGGACATCGATTGGTGGTCCAAGTTTTATGCCTCTGTGGGTGATGTTGACAAAGCCGGTGTGTATCTTGAAAAAGGATTTGACAAGATCATGGTAAGATGTCGAGAAGCTGTCACCATTTCATCAAAACTTAAGCAAAATATGAGAAAGAAATCAACCATCGACATAACAGCTCGTCGAAATGCACGACAACAGTGCGTGCACATGGCGCATTCTGTCCAGTTGCACAAGCACTACGCACTAGCTGTCTTACTAAACTGTCCAATTACAAGCAAGACGTGTACACTGTCCTCTTAGTATTTATCGGGCTGGTGATAACCAATCATGTTCGAGAATTTTGTCAGTAATCATTGCTTGAGAAGTATTGGGCTCCTTGGGTTGTTTTATTCTCTTTCCTATTTTTCTGAGATATCAATCAGACTGAACTGTGTGTGATCTTGTGTTTATTCCAGTTAGTCAAGACTTCTTTATCTCATTAGTGATGAACACTAATTATACGTACATAATTAGCCGTCAATGTACTGATTTCATTACACTATTTGAGGAAAATTGTGGTTAGAGCCCTTCGAATGCTTTATCGATTGTTTTTCTTTAGGTCTACGATACAGAGCTGGAGAAGGTTGAAGTATTCAACGGCTTCCAGGACTTTGTAGAAACATTTTTCATCCACCGAGGAAAAGTGAAGTCCAAAGCTGAAGAGGAGGAGACAATTGTAGGGGAATTTAAGGTAAAAGTTGAGCCTTACGAATCGTGAGGTGCACAATGGTTTCACATAAGAAGGAAATGTAGCCTTAAAGAGGGCCAGTATTTTCTGTTGATACAAAAATGAATTATTATTAGTCAAAAAGGATCAATAAGTTACCGCATAGTCAAGTGATGTCCATTGAAGAAGTCCGTTGGCTCGTGTCTGTTATAAATCGTAGAGGGATTTTGGATGTTTTTGCCGTTAGGTGGTATGTAGTGACAAGAAGCCTCTGTTCCATTGACACCAACGATATTACTTAAGAGATATCTTGATCGGAACTACCCCCTCCCCCCCATCCCTTCTATTTCCTTCCATTTAGTGAGAGAACCCCATTCCGCCTCTTTTCCGAGCTTAGCCGTCTAGAAAACCATAACTTGCGTGGAAATGTCAGTCGTTTTAACAAGTTACCTATTTTAGACTTGATTGAAATGTAGCTTCTCTGGGACTTTCTTCAGCAGGGTAGTGAGGGGGTAAAGGCGCTCTTTCGAGACCTAAGGATGATTCGAATGAGATTTGCACACTATTGTGTGTAAAAAATATTGGACCAGACTCGAAATTTTCGTCGAGATAATTAGGACAACTGAGAGTGATATTCGGTGATATTGCTCCATACAGCTACACTTACCTTGTGTCCGAACAGAATCAGTAAAACATTCGTTTTTAGCAATGGCTATATAATTTTGAATCTTTATTTTTACCTTTTTGTATACATAGATGCACGCATCTTACAACAGATTTTAAAGAAAAGTGTAATAGAATAGTTTTTGAATAAAATTTGAATCATTGTGAGATTTTGTATGAGCATGGCATCCCTTTTTATTAGTTATATCATATGCGTGAAAGATTTACCCTGCTTTTTAATAGTAAATAAAAGTTTACAACTTCTATTTTCCTTTGCTTCAGGGATCTTTTCGAATTTATCCTCTGCCAAGTGACCCGAACTCTCCTTTGCCGCCCAAGATTCTACGGAAACTGCCGCCTAGTCAGCCAGTGGAGTGTATCATCAGAGTATACGTTATACGAGTAAGATAACAGCCTCGCTTGGTTTTTTCCGGCTTAGTTTTTTCCTTGATTAGTTTTTATCCATGGCTTGCGAAACTAGCCCCAATTGTTCTAAGCTGGGTTTAGATAAACCAGAGTTAGTGTGAAATTTTATTTCATATCTGAAAGGTTTAAAAGAATATTTGAGTTAATCCCATTTTTGTTGGTACAATTGAATGATTGAATGCACTAAAAGAAATTGGGAAAATTATCCCATAACGGCTTTTGAACAGAGAAATATAGAAACCTGGATTAAAATTTAACCCTGGGTAAGCGCTAGTCCGCTTACGAACAACTGGGCCCTGATATTTTGCATTGCGTTTTAATGCTGCGTGGCAGGACCGCATGGGAGTGGAGCTCGCACCTCGTTTTCAATTTATGGCAATCGCTCTTCATGGTCAAACGGTCATGGTCATGATTGTTTTAGTCGGCGATTGAATACTGATTTGATCGACATGAATCAAGTTGAAGCTGTGAAATCCCTCCTTAGCTTTAACGACTCAAATTGATGAAGTAAACACTCTTACACAATGACAGCCCAATCGACTATTAATTTTGTTTGTTTTATTTGTTTGTTTGTTTTTTTTGCCAGGCTTTAGACCTTCAGCCTCAAGACACTAGTGGCCTGGCTGATCCCTATCTTGTCGTACATCTGGGAAAGACTAAGGTCTCTGACAAGGATAGCTATGTACCAAACAATCTGAACCCCTTGTTTGGAAAGTAAGTTGGCAAATCTTGGATTATTGTTTGTATTAAATCATCCACCATGCTCGCAGTGTAACAGGCGATCACCGGTAAAACTTACTCCCGGTAGTGTTTTTTGTTTTTTGGTTTTTTGTTTTTGTTTTTTTTTTTTACAGCCTAAAATCGCCTTGAAATCCTGAAAACTCAACGGGCAGAAGGATTGCTCTACCGGTTTGAAACTTTATTCTGCCTGTCGTGCTTAAACGAAAGGATAACACTGTACTCGTTCTTCTTGGGTGATATTTGCTCCAAGGGTGACCCTCTTAGCAACGACACACCCATTCATGTAAACGGGAGCTCAAAGGGATTTTTAAGATATAAAGAATTTTTATTTTTTTGGATACTGAAATAATCGCTGTAATTTTTGTAATAAACACTCGATATATTAAAGTACAGCGCAGGTTTAGTAAGATGTTGAGATATTTGTCAAGAGCGTGGGACAAAGAGAAATCTGTGTATCTTATGAGCATTCGATCGGTAGGCCGTTGTTAAGCATTTCGACCTGAGATACAAAGTACTTGTTAGCCACGTAGCTGGGCCATTTGTATGTTACAAATAGAACGGAATACTACCGGGAATAGCTTTCTATCCTTCTTGCTCTTTTTAAGTAACTTAAATAGCTTCTAATTTTTATACAAGAGTATTATTTCTATCTCGTTTACTACCAGGATGTTTGAACTGACCGCCACCATTCCCATCATCAAGGACTTACGCATTAGCGTCATGGACTATGACGTTATCGGCCGAGACGATCTGATCGGTGAGACTACAGTGGATTTGGAGAACAGATTCTTGTCTCGTTTCCGTTCCACTTGCGGATTGCCTCAGACGTATTGCACGTGAGTATATAAAGAGCCAAGAGATAAAAATCCTAATGTGCCAGCTGGTTTAGAAGGTGAACCATCAGAAGAGATCCTGACTGCGCATGAGTGGAATATTTAGTCATATCTTATCCTGATGTATCATTTATGTGATTTTGTATTGGAATGAACACCTTTGATTCAAACCAGTGGCGTGACTAACGTAAAGTCAGTCAACGACATTGGTCGAAACCAAAGATGCAAAGGAAACGTGGTACTCTTGGTTACCACTTAACAAAAGTATACCTTGCCGACAAAAAAGGCCGGAGAGAAGAATGACCTGTTTAACTTGTTATGTGATTGACAGGTCGGGTCCAAACCAGTGGCGTGACTCTCAGACGCCACGTCAGATCTTAGAGTACTGGTGTGAGCTGAACAGCTTAGGTAAACCTCAGTTCCTTGGGAACACGCAGTTGGTGCTGGACGGAAAGGTTTACAACTTGCAGGAGTTCGGTGAGTTATTCAGAAAGTTCTTGTTATGGTAAATGAATTTCTCTTAGAGAGCTTTGCAATTTAGTTTCTCAAACACAGGAACGAATTTAACCCGTTTGACCCCTGAGAGTAATTAACATCTCATTTCTCCTTACATTATCACTCCCGAATCACACCTTAAGGTCATGAGAATAATGGAAATGATCATCAACTGAAGAAGTTTTCGATTTTAAACCAAATTCTCCTTGTCAACACCTTAGGAAATTTATAGAGAACAATGTGGAGAATTTGCAAACTGATGTTGGGGTTTAAAGGGTTC